CAGCACGAAGTCTCTTTCCAAGGAATGACGCCTCTTGACAACATGTCAAAGTATGTGAGATGAAGTTTCACTATTCTTGCCTATAAGGCAAGACTGTCCTTTCAAGTCACGTTTGTTCCTTTAGTAGGCAGGCCATGGGATGTTTCTATTCATTAGTCTATGCTAACAAATGTAGAAGATAACTACTTGTCTACATGACTGGAAGAGAGATCCATATTTGTACCCATTTAATAAAAAGATCCCACAGAGTGGGCAAATTTTTTAATAATACCATTAATATCGTGCATTAATATCATTAATATAGATGCATTGCACTGGGAAAGTATGCAGTTAGGGAACTCTGCAAAATTTTTGGGGCATATAAATATCTTTCTGGTGTTTTCTGTTTTCAGCCACTATCTAATATCAGCAATGACATCCCTTGTTCCAAGTTCTCTTCTAAATTCAGTTTAATTTTTGGTAAGTTTCCTATTGAAGTGCTATGGCAAAGGTCTTTGCATTTGCATCAGATAGATGCATGTGATATGACATTAATGATATTCTTTGATAATTTCCAGATTCTGTTTGGCTGTTTTGGGGATGTACACAATAAATTATCAAGAGAGGAAAAAAAACAAAAAAGATGCTTGTGTGAAAGGAATAAATTGTGAAGGATGAGTTCCAAAGAGGATAATGGGGCTCATAGGGTAGGAAAATAGATTGTCTTGAACATTCTTTGAAATGGGAGGAAAAATTGCAAGGATTGTTTTCATGTGTGAGAACTTTTGATAGATATGATGAAGTCTAAGTGAGATCTACATGAGATGTTTACATGTGTTTACTGCCTATGTTAAAAAGACTAACCATGGGAATCATAACAAATTATGAATAGCATTGCAAAGCAGGTTTCAGAATGCTTAACTGTGTTCACATGGAACCTACACTGCTTAACTGTGTTCACATGGAACCTACACATACTTGAAGAGGTAGCCCTTCAAACCAAACATAGCAGGACAAGGGGAAACTGAGTGGTTTAAATTCAGAAAAAAGTGGGAGAGGGGGTTACTAATTCAATTTGCATGGTAAACAAATAATCTGAGAAGGAAGGTAGAATGTTGTTGTTATTGTTGATTGTCGTTAAGTCAAGCACGACTCATAGCGACCCTATGAACGAAAGACCTGAAACTTCCTATAACTATCGTTGTTTCTCTAAGTTCATAGAGTTTCCAGAGGCATGTTGTTTAGGAAGTGGATGCCAATCCTGCTTCCAAACCTATCTTAAACTGGGAGCTCCACCTAACATTGTCCACCATGGGTAACCATTATGACATTTAACTTCCCAATGGCACACAATTCAGCATCATAGCAACCCCAAGTTACCTCAGTATAGCAAATTGACAAAAGAGTGCTGTACCACTTAGAATAATGTTCTTCCAAAATGTAACAACCGACTTTTAAAGACAAAGGCCCTCCATGAGTTCTTGTTGATTCTAAACGAGAGGCTTAAATAAAAACAACCAACATAATATGTGTTGTTAAAAATTTTAAGAAAAGCTTTATGAACCCATGGTTTTCTTTCCTTTGGCCCCATAAAGCACCTGGTCACTGTACCAAAAGCAAATTGTCATCATTCTTCCAATGACATACATGAAGAAATAGCACCAGATTTGGAGGATGATTTAATAACACTCTAAAGACAGGCTGTTGATACAACCTTTCTTGCTGACAGATGAAATGAACTGAAGCACTTACTTATGAAGATAAAAGACTGTAGCCTTCAGTACAGATTATACCTTAACATAAAGAAAACAAAAGTCCCCACAACTGGTTCAATAAGCAATATCATGATAAACAGGACAAAGACTGAAATTGTCAATGACTTCATTTTACTTAGATCCATAATCAATGCCTATGGAAGTGGCAGTTAAGCAATTACTTATTATATTAGCCACATCTATTGCAGAAGACTTTCTTACAGTGCTAAAAAGCAAAGATGTATCTTTTAAGACTAACGTATGTTTGATCCAAGCCATGTATTCTCAATTGCTTCATATGCATGGGGGAGCTAGGTAATGAATATGAAATATTCACAAAGAATTGATGCATTTGAATTATGGTGTTGGCAAAGAATATTAAATATTCCATGGATGACAAGAAGAACAAACAAATCTGTCTTGCAAGAAGTACTCAGAAGTGAGAATGGCAATACTACGTCTCACTGCAGATGCTATCAGGAAGGACATCATGTTTAGTGAAACAGTCAATAAAAGAGAGGGGACGCTCACAGAGGTGGACTATAATAATTGGCTCAAGAGCAGTCAGTGTTTTGTTCTGTTATACACAGGTTTGCTATGTGTTGGAACCAACTTGAAGACCTCTAACAACAACAACAACAGTATAAGATCACACCTGATTTTTTTCAATTTTCTCATGATGGAAAGGAAGGTGAGTGAACTGTATTTTCAGAGCCCAGGGAGAGCTAGAGTCACTTTCTCTCTGCACATTCAGCTAGAAACTAATTGTCAAGGAAAAGTGTGGATGATCTAGTCAAGAGAGCCTCTCAGTACATAGATGGAACAAAGGAATAGAAAATAGAGGGGAAAACACAGCACAAATGAATAGGTTTTGTGAGAAATTGTGTGTGAAGAAAGCCCTAATTCCTTCAATCCTTATACATGACCTGCTGGGTGGATGTTGCTCTTCTCAGAAAAGGTAGGGATTACTCATTGTTGAGACTTGATTAGCCACATTGCTTGGTTTGGCCAATAATATTAGCTGCAAGTGAGGCATTTGAAAAATTTGAACATAGGCTTGAGAAAGCTTTGAGTCTTTTCTGCTCACCCTCTTGTACAGGGCAGCACGTACAGATGACCAAGCTAGCCTTCTTGAGATTGAAAGACCATGTGAATGAGGAAGCTCAGTCTGGCATGTGATGAACTCATTCAACTCCAATCAGGCTACCTGATTACTGTAGCCATGTGTGGCTCCATGCAAAGCCATTTGTTCTAAGTTATTAAATTTTAAGGATGTTTGTTATGCAACAAGGCACATGTATATAGCCAAAGAGTAAGGACTTCAAAGGAGGACGAGATAAGAACATTCTGACTTCTTTCTACCTTGTGATCTTTGGAGTGGGATGAGGATAGGATTAATACCTAAAGCATAACGAACATTTAAAAGAAAGCCTTATTAACAAATGGTGTTGGCAAAATTGGAAAACTATCTGTAGAAAACTCAAGCAAGACTCATGCCTTACACCATACACAAAAACCAAGGCAAAGTGGATTAAGGACCTAGGACTAAAACCAAGGACTATGAACTTCATCAGAGGAAAACTTGGAAGAACTCTAGAAGCCTTAGTCCATAACATGAACAGTCTCCCAGGCATCCTGAAAAACCTACAACCAGGAGAAGATTAACATAGATGAATGGGATCTTCTAAGACTCAAATCCCTATATACACAACCAAACTTCTCCAATAGGGTAAAAAGGAAGGTCATACACTGGGAAAAAAATATTTGGTAATGATATATCTGATAAGGGACTTATATCTAGAATTTATAGAATACTTCAGCACCTCAACAAGATAAAGGTAAACAACCCAGTCGCAAAATGGGCACAGGATATGAACAGACACTTCACCGAAGAAGGTATTCAGATGGTGAACAAACACATGAAGAAATGTTCAAAATCCCTAGTTCTAAGAGAGATGAAAATAAAAATAACTATGATATTTCATCTCATCCCAGTAACAATAACAAAGTTCAACAAAGCTGTAAACAAGAATTGCTGGTGAGGTTGAGGAAAAACTGTAATCCTTAGTTGGTGGGAGTGTAAAATGATGCATGCAACCACTCTGGAAGGCAATATGGCACTTTCTCAAAAAGTTGGAAATAGAAATAACCATTTGACCCAGCAATTTGACTACTGGAGTATATCCTAAAGAAACCAGAACTGCTACCCAAACAGATAGATGCACAACTCAAGTGCCCATTAACAAATGAATGGATAGAGAAGCAATGGTATATTCACACAATGGAATACTAAACAACACTGAAAAACAATGAATTCAGGGAGCTCTGGTGGCCTAGTGGCAAGAAGCTGCACTGCAATCCCAGAGATCCGTGGTTCAAATCCACCAGATTCAGATCTGATTTGATGGTACATGCACAAAAAAGAATAAAAAAATAAAAAAAATTTAAAAACCTCAAAACAATGAACTCATAAAATACTATACAAAATGGGTGACCCTAGAGGATATTATGCTGTGTGAACTATCGCAATCACAAAAGGACAAATACTACACAATGCCACTATTATAGAGTAGGACTGACATGGGGGTTGGAGGAAAACGAAGAAAAGGGAATAAGTAGTGAACACTGCATTGAAAAAAAAATGAGGAAAAGAACTGTTTAAGTTGCCGCAAATGACGGCAAATGTGTTTCTAAGCACGGTAGTCAATTTAAAAAGTGTGCAGCAACGTGTTAAAAGGAATATATGAATAGTTATTATTTGTATGACAACAATCCAGAATGAGAGATGCATAGCAAAGTGGATGGGGGAGGAGGGCGAGAAAATGGTGTAATTATGAATGAATTTTTTTAAAGAGAAATGTGAACTGGGGGTCAGGGAGGAAAATGTACAGCAATGAATGAATGGAAATCCAAGTTTTCTGTAAACTTTCATTAAAATCACTACAAAAAATTTTTAAAAAGAGAAAAATACATTTTAACTTATTGTTTGTGGTTATGTAAGAATCAATGAATAAGAAAACTGAACATGAAATAAATAGAACTGAACTGAGAATGGTAGCTGAGACTGGGGTTTCCCAGATATCCTCAAGGGAAAAGACGTTTTTATGTGAAAATGACTGTGCTGGAAACCATAGTTTTCTTCCGTAATAGACCTACAAAGAAAATAACGAACAAATACTCCCTATTTTACCTCGATAAAACATGAAGACATTAAAGAACAATTGAGAGATTATGACCTATTAAGAAGTCTATTGAAGGGCTTCTTACCTGCAATGAGAACCGTGAAGACATCACCATGTTGCTTCTGCATGGTTTTTAAGAAAGTGAAGGGATCTCTTCGGAAGTCCAGAAGCTTTCCAATGTAAGGAATCCAGCCTTTTATTAGTGGAGGCTCATCAGGTTTCCTAGGAGGTAAAACAAACAAATAGATAAAAGAAGAAAATATTAAACCACTTTTGATCTTCAATGAGCAAAAAGTTAGGTCTTTTAATCTACACAATCTTCACTTATATTCTTATACCTACATTAAGATGTGTAGGATGATGATACAGTATGGGATCTGAAGGTACTCAACTGAGGTGTGAACTCTGGTGGCTTAGTAGTAAGACATTGTGTTGCCATCAAAAAGGTGCGTAGTTTGAATCTGCCAGCTTCTCCGAGGGAGATGGGCACTCCATACCTATGTGATTTACTGCCTCTGAAAACCTGCTAGAGGGTCAATTATGAGTCGGTTCCCACTCTGCGGTCCACATCAACATTATCAATAACAACTAAATTGTTCATAAACTAAATGTGAAGGTGTGGTCCTTAGGGCATGGATGTTATAGTAAATTGCTCAATTGTTGTAGTAAATTAAAAAACAAACAAACCCATAACTGATTAATTACAGAGTTTAGAAGAAGATAGTAGTTTGGCAACACTGATGTTTTTGCTGAGTATGGTCAAGTTGGAACCCACCCATGGCTGACCTTCCTGAAGTTTTTCAGGGGCAATAAATCGCATGGGAGAAGACTGCTAATCTTTCTCCTGCAGAGCAGCTGGTGGATTCGAACCACATACTGTTAGGTTGGCAATGCAGCAGCTTACCACGAGACCACCAGAGGTCCCTCCTTATTCTTGGTCAATTCTTGTTCTTAAAGAAAAGAAAGGAATCTTAAGGTTCAGAGGTCAGCAAACTTTCCTAAAGAAGTCACTTAATGACAAGTATACATGATCTCTGTATTCTTATCTCATTTAGAAAGCTTTCTGTGGATGTAGCAAAAACTCAGGCTTTTTTAAAGCTATGGAGGGAACTGACAGTTACATTCAATAAACTGTGTGTATGAGTCTGAAGGCTGTGATTGCATTTGGGGTATTGTTGTTCTTAAGTGCTGTTGAGTCGACTATGACTCATATCGACCAGATATATGAACAATGGATCTCACCCCTGCTCTATCCTGTGCCATCCACATCATCTCTGATATGCCTCAGCCCATTGCTGCATTCTTTGTGTCAATCCATCTGGCTGAAGGTCTTCCTTTCTTCCATTAACCAGTAATTTGACAATCCCTTTTAAAACATATGGAGCATCCCATAAAATACTGCCAAGAACTTAAAATAATAAGTTTCTTTCTTTCTAGCCTAAAATTCCAGCAAAACTGCACTTCAAAATTTCTTCCTAGTCATTTATTTGGTGGGCTCAGTCTGATTTAAAGTGAAAAGCCAAAGCTATTTTATCCTAGAAGGGATTAAAACAAATATTCAAAAGAACTCACAATCTCTACCCCATCTGTGAAGATGACTTATATTCCATGCAGTACAATCCATTTTGATTAATCACAATATATTACTAGCTCAGATCTCATCAAAGATCAAGATTATGATCCTATGCAGCATGGACTTTTAGGTAGCTAGATTAACTCTATCAAAAGCTTTTATTTTCCCATAACCCAAAATGGTAGGATTAAACAATAAACTATTCAAAATAAATCAGATGTGTACTATGGTATAGATACAGAGAAAAATCTTTCTCTTTGTAGTAGACCACTTGTTTTTATACCTAATGATTAAGAGAATGCTAGTGTGTGTGTGTGTGTGTGTTTATACTGCAGAAGTATTTAATACAGTTTTGAAAGTTATTCTTCATCCATCTCTCCATTATTTTGTTGAATGCCGCTTTTAGCAGAGGAGATTCACTTTGTTCCAGAAGGACAAAAAGCTACCAAGGAAACATTGTAATAGTTAATTTTACCCCCAAAGATTAAACAAGAAGAGATCACATGTGTGATGGTGGAGAGAGGGAACCCCAAGTTAAAAATTGCCCCAGCATGTGCACTACCCACCTGTCAATGACCCTTTCAAATCTTATAAGTGATTTAAGATTATTTCAAGTGATTTAATTTATTTCAAAATATTAAGCCTTTTCCTTGGTCTGTTTTCATTCTGGTTAAATGCTGTTCAATTACTACATTGTGACAAAGATTTAGAAAGGCTTTTTGTCATATTCTAAATTAACGAATTTCACTCTTTATGCTCTGTCATTCGGTCAAAAGCGGTATTCTTCACAGCATTTCGGGTGTGGGTGCACACACACCAACCTGTGTATGTGTGTGTGCAACAAATGAGAAAAAAAATCCAAGCAACTGTCAATGTTTAGAGTTATGACAGCATATGAAGAAGTCATTTTAATTTCACAACAATAGAAGGGTCAGTCTTTCTTCCAGTTATGTTTATTTAATAGCAATACACTCAATCATAATAAACATCATGTTACAATTGTGCACATTTTTCAGGAAAAACGTAGTGCTAGTTCAATCTGCGGTTGTCAAAAACAGATAACAGAAAGCTGTCTTCACTGGAATGTCTATAAAAATCACTCAGGGGAAAAAGCATTGCTGTAATAATCTAGAAAACCTGCTGACACTTGGCATAGTGTAATTAGTGCTATTTATCTCAGTTGGTTCTAAGACTTGTTCTAACACATGCAGACCCCCATGTGTCCTCCACGTGGTTTTTCAGAGGCTGATATTTCATGAAATGGGTTGTCAGGCCTTTCTTCCGAGGTGCCTCTCTGGGGACTCATACTTTCAAAGTTCTAGTTAACAGCCACTCTTGCTAATAATGATTTGATTCAGTCAGGGAAGTTCTACAGGCAGCTCTCCTGAATTGCACACAAATGGTTAGCCTGTCCTCAAAGCTTCTCTTTACTACTGTGGAACTATAAAGGCACATTTCAGAATGAGTTTACAGAATAGAGTTTACAGATATTTTCCGGAGTCATAGGTGGTGGAAACAGCACTGTAGAACACTAAACAACATGTTGGTGGTTCATGTCCACAAAGAGGCAATTGAGAAACAACATCTAATGACCCATTATGGAAAATCAGTCATTACAAATTCTAGGACACATAGTTTGAGATGCGAACACCCGGAATGCCTAGACTGCAGGTCCTCAGCAACTAGTTAACCATGTTCAGTGATTAACGCTAAGCTCTATGCAAGCACTGTTTCATCATCTGACAATTTCTTTCTTTTTTTATTAAATTTTATTAGTTTTAATGAACATTTATAGAGATTTTGGGTTTTCATTCATTCATTGTTGCACTGTTTTCTCCACCCTCATCCCCAGTTCGTTCTTCTTTCCCCCCATGTCTGTTTTAATTGTCCAATTGCCACAGTGCTTGCCAAAGCCAGTTCTGATTAATCTCCTTTGTCAGT